AAGTAGGTGCTTTAGACCACTGAGCCATCTCACCAGCCCACCTACATTGTTTTAATGGTTGTTTGGAGTCTATTTTTAGACATTTTTAATTTTTTCTAGATTTTAATGTTACAAATAATACTGTGATGACCTTCTTTACACTAAATGTTTATGTGCATTCCTGGTTTTCTCAGGAAAAATTTCAAGTGGAATTACTTAGACTAAAAGGGTGGGCATGCTTATTCCCAAAATGTCATGTAGAAAGATTTTATGGATTTGCATTACTAAGAGAATATGTGTATGTTCAGTTTGGTGTATTCTTACCAGTACTGGATTTTATTATTTTAGAAAGTTGGTAACTGAAAGCTGGCGTATCTTTTTTTTGTTTTTGCGGAACTGGGGATTGAACTCAGGCCCTTGCGCTTGGCAGGGAAGCTGGCGTATCATTTAAATTTACACTTCCTTGTTTCTTCAGGAAGCTATGTATTTGTCCTGGGTTTATTACTGACCATGTTGTCTTTTTTTTTTTTTTTTTTTAATTTATTTATTTACGTGTGTGTGTGTGTGTGTGTGTGGCCAGCTCAGCCCACCAGGGGGCGGGCTGGCTGGCATGTGGTGCTGGGGGATTGAACCGTGGTCCCTGCGCTTTGCTGAGTTTGTTCTAAGTAGGCGCTTTAGACCACTGAGCCATCTCACCAGCCCCATGTTTTCTTTTGTGTCTTTTTTCCTCAAAACTTTTAAATGTTGTTTGTCTCGTACTCACTATTTTCATCTTGCTAAAAGCAAGATTTTTCTCCTCCAGCTTCCTCTAACATTAACATCTTACCTACTATAGTTACCAAAGCTGGGGAATTAACAGTTGGTATAGGTAGGGCCAGCCAAACAGTTTAGGGGATTAAAGTGCCTACAAGCAGGCACAGGGGTGGGGGTTTTGATCCCAGGGCCTGCCCTGCTGGCCCTGCCCCTGGGGCACGCTGAGATGGCAATTGAGACTGGGTGTGGTGTTGCACCCCTGTAATCCCAGCTCTTGGGAGGCTGTAAAGAGGCAAATTTCCACTATAGGATTTCCACTCTAGGATTCCCAAAGTTAATGATTATAGTGGTGCCTCTAGTAGTGAGACCCTGAACACCCTGTAGACCCTTCCCTAAAATACAGGGGGGGGGGAATAAATATATACAGTAGTATAATACTGTTGACAAAGCTATAGGCCTTGCTCGGATGTCAGCAGATTTTCCAAATGTTCTCTATCTGCCCTTGAATCCCTTGGCTTAGTTATCTTATCTCATCTTTTCCAGTCTGTAAATGTTTATCTTGTGTCCTTGACACTGGGGAAGATCAGTTATTCTGCAGAATGTCTGTAAACTTCACACGTTGGGGTGAGATTATGTCCTTTGGTAAGAAGGCCACATAGAGCCGCACTGTGTCCTCGGGGACTGTGTCCTCGGGGCTCCCGTCAGTTGACTCACAGCACTGACCTGTCTCAACACTAAGGACATTATGAACCGAACAGACGAGTCGCGAGCCACCTTGTGTTGCTTGTTAAAATAGGGCCGGTCAGGATTTCCACTGTAGAGTTCCCAAAGATAATGAGTACAGTGGTGCCTCAGCTTACAAATGCTTTTGTTTGTGAAGCATTTGGCAGAATTTTGTTTTTATTTGTGAACTCTGCGTGGGGTGACAAATATCAGCCATGGCCATCTTTCCCGCATGAACATGATGCGGTCATCTTTTCCAGCATCATGGCTAAACTGTGAACTGAGATACCATTTATTTTATTTTATTTATTTATTTTTTTGAGGGGGGGAACCGGGGATTGAACTCAGGCCCTTACACTTGCCAGGGAAGCACTTTATCCACTGAGCCATCTCCACGGCCCCTACCACTGTATTTTTAAACTATGTAAATCCTATTTCCCTTACAGTTTTTGCCCACTGATTTTAACATTATGTTTGGTTGGGGAACTAAATTAAAGTAGGACTTTATAACATGAGTGTTTAGTACAATTCTAAAGCATCTAAGTTAGGGCATCTCTGAGGACAGGCAGATTTTGTAGAATTTACTAAATTCACTGAAAACTTAGGTATTAGTTTTACTAGTAAAACTAAGAAATGTAAGACAGTGGGCACACTTAGTGTTTAATGTCAGTTTAGCTTGTGTGCTTACTAGAGCGGCTGGCCATCTGTCCAGACGCCTGGGGCTAGAGACCCTCACTGCTAAGTTGCTGAAGTCCCCTGTAAGCCTGCTGAGTTAATCACCCTGGCTATCATACAGTATCTTTAAAGAGAACTTAGTGCTTACAGATGTATATAATGTCTGAATTTATTGTTGCTTTAATCTCAAGTATGGATGAGTCTGTCGGTCTCCTGAGCTTTCATGGATGACCTCCATGGCTGCAGAAGGCACAGGATCACATCAGACGCACAAGATAGGCACCACAGGGAAGGGGGCAGTTAGAATCAAAATGTGTGGGTATGTCGGTCCTCCTCCAGAGAACTGTTCAATTCCCAGTACCGCTCACCCCCAAACAAGGAGTTGGTCAAGAACTATCAGTAGAATATCTCTAAGGGCCAGCCAAATAACTCAGTGGATTAAAGTGCCTGCAAGCAGGTGCAGGGGGCAGGGGTTCGATCCCCCGGCCTGCTGTGCTGACCCGTCTCCTGGGGCACACTGAGACGGCGGTTGAGACTGGACTTGATGGCGCACACCCATAGTCTCAGCACTCAGGAGGCTGTAAACAGAATCACTATGAGTCCGATCCAGTAGTGAGACCCTGAATATCCTGTAGACTCTTCCCTAAATAGAGTATCTCTAAAGTTTCCTTAGTTGAGCATTTAATTGTACCCGTCTTGCTGAGCCAAATTCTTTGAGCTCAGTTTATGCCTAAGGAAGCTTCTTGCACATACAAGCAGAAAACACGTCTCATGTCCAAATCCCCACTAAATACAGCCACTCTTTTCCTTGGTATTTCTTAGCACCTTTGCCCTGATTGCCTCAGTGGTCTTTTCTTGAGGGAACCAGCTCCTTATTTTACTGCACTGGGCTTTACTACACCTGCAGACGCAGCAGGGGCATTGCACAAAGCTGCCTCTGCTCCGGGCGCTTTGATGGCCGTTTCTGCCCCAGTACAATAAATAGCTATCTGCATAACCAATTGGAAGCGTTTTATCGTAGCCTGGAGTCCTAGTTCTTTGGTTGAAGCTCTGGCTCTGAAAGCAGCGCCGGATAGATGGGAATAATTATTAGGCTAGATAAAGACGCAGTAAGAACCAACATCCTTACCCTAGTTGGTGTAAGCATAGCGTTGCTCTCAACACTTGCAGCTTAACGCTAACAATGAAAGCATTCCTTAAGGTTTTAGACTATCATTCCATTGAAATTTATTTCAGAAAACAGACAATTTCCTCCATTATTTCACCATTTAAAATCTACTTAACATTGAAAAGCTGATTGTGTGTCATTGGTTGCTGAATTCCTGGGCTTGGGGTTGACTGTTACCTTTCTAGAATCAGGGGCTTTGCTTTTTTCCTAGGGCTTATGAGGATGACTTAAATAGAATAGACACAGAACCCATATGATTGATTAATATGTCAGCTACACCCCCAAGTCAGGATAGTCCTTCATTCAGAGTTAATTTAATAATGCCTTTTGGGGAAAACTTTCTCATTAAAATATTGTTAATTGTAACTTTTACTTCTTAAAGTTAAAAAGAAAAAAAGTGCAGTTTAGTGGCCCCCCCAGATCTTTGGGGGGCTGGGGAGATAGCTCAGTGGTCTGAGCACCTGCCTGGCAAGTGCAAGGACCTGGGTTAAATCCCCAGTACCATGTGGCGTTCTGGCCCCAGAACCCCAGGTGCGCATACAGGCCCTGAATGGGGCATGGTGGCACATGCCTGTAATCCCAGCTCTGGGGAGGCTGAGGCAGGAGAATTACTATGACTCTCAGTTGTGTAGTGAGACCCTATACCAAATAAATAAATACAAAAAAACCCAACAACCTTGGGGCTGGGGAGATGGCTCAGTGGAATAAGCGCTTCCCTGGCAAGCACAAGGGCCTGAGTTCAATCCTTGGTTCCGCAAATAAATGATTTAAAAATAAAAAAAATCTTGAGTCACAATGTTGTTTTAAACTATGGCTTCTGCAGCCTTTCCTCAGGAACAGCCCTACCTTCAAAAACAGCCCTCTCGGGGGCTGGTGAGATGGCTCAGTGGTCTAAAGCACCTACTTAGAACAAGCTAAGCAAAAACACAGCGACCGCGGTTCAATCCCCAGCACCACATGCCAGCCAGCCCCGCCCCCTGGTG